GGCAGAGGGGGCTTAGTCTGCACAGAGGTGTGGCGGGGTGAGAGGTGGCGGGCGGGCAGAGCCCCCCGAGCGCCTTGTACTCTGGGAGGAAGAATGAAGGAGAATGAGGCTCACTGTGTGACCCCCCCCCCAGGGGAGCATGCGCTTCATAGTGGGGACAAGGAGCTGTGGGTGAAATTGGAATTTCAGTCCTGAGCGCTGTGTGGGGAGGAGGCTCGGGGTCAGGGGTGCCAGGCCACGTGTGGGGGAGGGCAGCTATCCCGCAGCAATCAATCCCACGGCCAAGGCATCATTAGCCCCATCCCCAGCCCATCGCCCCCATCCCCAGGGGCACTTGCCCATGACCAGCAGGATGTCCAGATCTGAGCTGAAACCCTTGAATGGAGCATTCTGGTAATGTCCCCCTGCCCTTGCCCTTTGGGTTACCTCTAACACTGAGCCAGGTCACAAATGTCCGCATCCAGCCACCTCAGTTAGGACTGAGCTGCCAGGGAAGGGGCCGACTTTGCTCTGATCCAAGGCATCCTTCCCAGTAATGGATGGGAAGGGGTTCTGGAAATTCTGACGTGTTCTATCAAGTCGGGAATGGGAGGGCAGGAGGCAGGAGTTTGCGGACAGGACAGGGGACAAAGTGCTGGGGACAGCCCCTAAATACAGGGCTTCCTATGTGCTTGGTGCTTTTTATCATTCCTTCCTCTTATTACGTCTATTTTACAGGTGAGGAGACTGAGGCAGGAAAAGGCTGAGTGAATTGTTTGAGGTCAGTAGTCAGGAAACAGCAGAGCTGGGTCTGCACCGGGCAGCCTGGCTCTGGGGTGCACACTGGGTTGGCCCCTGGGCAGCAGGGAGGAGCCCGGGTTTGGCCAGAAGGGAAAGAACTCATCATCTCTGGGGGCGCCTGGGGGGCTCAGTCGGTGAAGCGTCTGCCTTCGGCTCAGGTCATGATCTCGGGGTCCTGGGATCGAGCCCCGTAGTGGGGAGCCCGCTTCTCCCTCTGCTCCTGTTCCTGCTCTCTCGCTTTCTCTCAAATAAATAAAAAAATAATCTTTGAAAGAAAAAAAAGAAAGCTCATCATCTCTGCGGCGCAGAGTTGTTTTCAGAGGGCGTCATACTCGGAGTCCAACAAAACCAGCGTGGAATTCTAGCTCAGCCACTTCCCTGTGTAAGTTGCCCAGCTTCTCTCAGCCTCGGTTTCCCCCTCTGTAAAATGGGGGCGGCAATGCCCACCACCCCCCCCCCCGAGCTGTTGTGAAGATCTAATGAGGTGATGTATGTGACGTGCCGGGCACAGACGTGCGGAAGAAACGGGTGCCGTCGTGACGGCTGGCATTGCACGTGACCGCGGAGGGCAAGACAGAATGTGCTGGGGCTGGCGGAGAGACCACAGTCGTCCAGCAGGAAGGACTTGGTGCCCTTCAGAGGCGGGGCAGGGAACGAGGCCTCTCCCTGCTGGGGGAAGTTTGAGGAGCAACTCTGGCCTCTGCGGCAGGCCGGTGCCCGGGGCTCGGGGGTTCTGCCGGGCTGCGGAGGCCCACCTTGGACCCCGGGCAAGGGAGCTGGTGAAACCAGGGAGCGGGAGCCCCTTTGGAGGGTGGGGACGGGAAGCGGTGTCACCAAGTGGAAATGAAGAGCCAGCGGGGGCATCCCCACTCCTCGGCGTCCCTTCTCTGCTGTGGCGAGCGGCCCGGCCGGGCTCCGCGGTTCTGGCTGTGCAGCCGTGGGCAAGCCACCTCTCTCTTTGGGCCGTTCGCTTTTTCATCTGTGTAAACAGGCTTCGCATTCTCTTAGGGCTCCTCTCGTAGGTTCTAATTCTAGTCCGGGACTCAGCTTAGCTTGAGGGGGCCTGGGCCTGCTGAGGGGCTAGGAGAGAGCTAGGAAGGAGGAAAGTGATGGAGGATGCCCATCTCTGGGCAAAAGGAGGCTGGAGCCTTGGGGCACTCGGGGCCTTGGCTGGTGAGCGGACCGATAATGGGGGGGTGACATGGGAACATAGGCCAGCGTCCCTGGTGCCAGAAGGGACTGTGGGGCAGACTGGCCCAGATCAGAGTGTGTCGTGGGGGCAGGTGGCCAAGCTGATGGCAAGCGTGGCCACCACAGGGGCAGTCCACACCTCCGGACCCGGGCATGGACCAAGGTGCCTGTGATGGGGACACTGGGGAGATGGGCTCTGGCCAAAGGGGAGGGACTCTGAGGCTGGGAAGTGGCTGCCAGGTCTTGCCATGCTGCTCTGGGACAGGCAGGGGCCAGACCAGGGCATGGGGAGGTGGCCAGGAATCACCACCCCATTCAGACCAAACCAAGGTGTGGTTCCGGGGGTGGCAGAAGCCCCTCTATCGGGTCTCAGCTCCCCTCTCCAATTGTTCTCTTCATCTGGGGCTTCAGGTCCTAAATGTCAGAGGAGGAAGTGGGGAAGGCCTGGGCTTCTTCCCAGGGGAGCCTTGCTCCTGCGCCGCCCGCTCGCTTGGCCCTGCACTCTCTCCACCCCGAGCCCTGGGCCCGGCTCCCGCTGCAGGGATTGTAGAGCTGCTGGGGCGGCGGGCAGGGCAGGGCAGGGCTGCAGGTGCGGGTTAAGAGCACGTGGGGAGGGACGCCTGGGGGACTCAGTCGGTTGAGCATCTGCCTTCGGCTCAGGTCATGATCCCAGGGTCTTGAGATCGAGCCCCATGTCAGGCTCCCTGCTCAGTGGGGAGCCTACTTCTCCCTCTCCTCCCCACCTGTGCTCTCTTTCTCTCAAATAAATAATTACAAATCTTAAAAAAAAAGAAAAGAGCACATGGGGAGGCAGCCTGAACGGGGAGGGAGGCTCAACTCTGGCACTGTGCAGTCCTGCAGACTGGGGCGGGTTACTTAGCTTCCTGGCCTCAGTTTCCTAGTCTAGGAAATGGGATAATGATGATAAATGAAGTTCCTACCTCATAGACTTGCTGCAACGAGGATTACACTCAAGGCAAGAGACATGAGTGCTTAGAACTGCATATAATCAGGGATAGATATTTGAATAGCATTATTCTCGTGATAAGCTGTTTACAACCGTAACCAGGGTGGGAGCAGGGGAGAACAGGCTGCAGGGCCCCATCAGGGGCTGCGTGCCATGTGCCCATCAGGGAGCTCTGGGCTGACCCACTCTGTTCCACTCATGGGATCCGCAGTGAGGCTCAGGGCACAGATGGGCCAGGCCTACGGCCAGCCCCTCACGCCAGCCCCCTGCCTCAGGCCCCAAGCGGGCATTGCCCAGAAGGCAGGTGGCACAGTGGTTTGGCCCCCAGGCGCTGGAGTCAGATGGCCTGGGATCCAATGAGCAACTCCTTAGTAGCTCTGTGGTCTGGGCTGGGTGCTCAGTATACAAGGCTGCGCCACCCAAAAACAGGGCCGCTGTAAAGGCCCTTCTGTGTCATACCGTTGGAATAAGGATTCCAGGAAGCAAACCCAAGGAAAAGGCTCAGCCCGGTGAGCATGCTGTGCTCTGCCACAGGCCTGGCATCAAAAAGCCTTGAGCAAGCTAACTTACTTCCTAAACCTCGGCTTCCTCATCTGGGGGGTAGTGATGTTCTCCAACCTTGGAGAAGTGATCAGAAATGCCACAGGTAAAGCAGCCGGCGCAGAATAAGAGCTGATAAGTGGCAGACGTTTAGTTCAGCCCTATGTCTAGTCCAGGAAGCCTGCGCGTGTGTGTGTGCGCGTGTGTGTGTTTTCCCGATCTGCATTTGGGGTCTTCTGGTCCCTCTTCCCAAGGCTTCTGTCATGATTTTGTGTGGGAGACTCGACTGAGGTCACTGCCAGACTGGATGGAGCCTTGGGTCAGTGCTGGATGTGAAAGGGGAGGAGATGGACCCCCATGCAACCCTTCTTCCAGCTCACACTGTCCCTGATCACAAGGCTGATTGCTACTGGCCTTCGAGTCCGCTGAGACCCACAGATCATTTTCTCAGTTTCTCCCGCAAAATGTCATCCCTGCTGTTCTTGTCCTGGGGGAGAGAGGGGAAGAACAGCACCTTGGCTTTCTAGTATTTTAAACTCTTGTTCCTCGCTCCCCACAAGACCTTCCCTTCTGTTGACTCTTTATAAAAGCTGAGAGGTTGACAGGAGATTGATTGAGAAATGAGGGTTAGAAGAGTAAGGTGACTTGACTAAAGTCATGAGTGTTGGCTGGGAGAATATGAGCTGGGATCTTCTCCCTCCTGACACTGAGCTACACTTGTCATTGACACAAAGCCAAGCTCCAGTCTCTGGTGAGAGGGAAGACGGCACTCTAGAAACTTCTAGGAAGCTGCCAAGATGGTCATGGAGGGCCTGGAGGACAAAAGACGTAGGGCCTAGTAGAAGCCACCAGTTCCCCGAGGAGGCGCTGGGGGGCTGTTGGCTGGGCAGGCAGCGTCCTGGGGAGGAGGCTCAGGGACACTGCCGTGGGCAGTGTGTGTGTGCGCGTGCGCGCAAACCTCAGGCACACGTGTACATACGAGTTCCCCGCTGGGACTGGGGCTTCTCTGCTTCTCTACTTCATCTGAGATGGGACTGGGGTCAAGCCAACTCCTGCCGCCTCCCTCGCTTTAGGTTTGGGTTATTTCCCATGGGTCACTGGAGTCTCTGTGTGACCCCGGACACTTAGACTCCCTAGAAGATTGTCCAGCCCAACTGCTTCAGGGCCCATCAGGGCAACTGGCCCAGAGCCTAGGAGGGACTTAACCTGGGCCCCCAAATCCACCTTTCCAGTCCAGGGTTTTTTTTCATGGTATTGCATGGCCCCCAAGTGCCCCCGCAAGAGGTTTCTGTGGGTCCCCACGCTCACGTCCGACATGCCATCATGACTGGCTGGACCAGAGGTCTGCCCTTGAAGGGGCAGCGTATTGCTGAGGGCAGGGAACGCACTCAGGTGCCGGGCTGCTCGAGGCTCTGGGCTCAGGCTGACCCACGGGCCCTGCATGGCTCCACCTACCCCAGAGGGCTCACGAGGAAGAAAAAAGGCCCCTGATGGGCCATGTGCCACCACCCTCTGCCCGCAGGTCCCTGGCCCTGGGCCAGCAGTACACATCCCTGGGCTCACAGCCCCTGCTCTGCGGCTCCATCCCAGGCCTGGTCCCCAAGCAACTGCGCTTCTGCCGGAATTACATCGAAATCATGCCCAGCGTGGCCGAGGGCGTGAAACTGGGCATCCAGGAGTGCCAGCACCAGTTCCGGGGCCGCCGCTGGAACTGCACCACCATAGACGACAGCCTGGCCATCTTCGGGCCCGTCCTGGACAAAGGTACTGTCTCTGGGCCAGGTAGCGGGTGGGGGGAGGGCCTGAGGACACAGTGACTCTTCCCCCTCGGGGTGCCTCAGCTCCCAGCCTGGGGTCCCCAGGAGAGGGCCGTAAAGCTGGTCAGGACCTGCAGCCTCCACAAAAGTGGGTCAGCTCCCTCTCTGGACCAACCCAGACTGTCACCATGGCCGCCACACCTTCCCAGGTGCTTGCTGCTGGGGGCTGAGCAGCCTGGAGATGCTCTGTATCCTGAGATCCTAGGGCAGGACAGGAGGCCATGGCCTTCCTCCCCACCCCCCTCCCAGCTTGCGCAGTGGAGGGGGGCAGGCTTTGTTGTGGACATTTGTGACATTTTCCCAACACTGTGTTAAGTGCTATGCAAATCTTGCTTTTGTGGGGGGGGGCGGGGTGGAGAGCATCACCACCTATAGGTCCCTCCCATATAGAAAATTCTGGAGCTGAGGAAACTGTCAGGTGCTGGTGGCATTGCATTGAGAAGATTCTGCTGACCCCCATACCCCTGCACGCTGGATCTGCCCAGACTGTGGAGGGGCTAGAGGGCGAGCCGGCCTCCGGGTAACTTTCCCGCCCTCCTGCAACCTGCCAGTCTAACCGGCTAGTGCCTGAAATGAATGGCATTCACACAACTTGACCTCAAGCATGACCAGGGGAGAGGGATGAGGGGGGGCCACTGCTCCCAAGAAGGGGACTTCGGGGCTGGAGAGTTCTGGGCTGAAGATGGACACCTCTGAGGAATAGCCGTGTCCTGGAATTTAATGACCCCAGCTGGTCTCCTGGGAGCCACCAGTCCCTTTCCGCAGCAACTTGAATCCTCCCGACCACCCCCTGGGGTTTTGCCACCCAAACTGGTGAGCCTGGCCCTCCCTTCTTTTACAAGAACTGTATTTATAGCCAGAAGGAAAAGGGATCTGAGAGCCAGGTGGATCTGATGAAGGGGGGGTGTGGGCGATGGGGGGCACTGACCCCCTACATATTAGTGTGCGGTCCCCCTTTACCTGGGCCTCAGGTATGCTGGGACTGTCTGACCTACAGGCCATTGTCAAGGGACAGAAGAGCAATTAGCGAATCAATGGATGATGATTCTGTTTACGCTTCTATTACCAAAGCTAATTATTCCTTGTTTACATAAAAGGTTTGGCCTCTAATTGGGGCCAAGTGGCGGCGGTTTGCATTTCAAACCTGATCTTGCCCGGTGTGTCAGTCTCACCGCCTTCCGGTGCCCCACCTCGGGCCAGGTAGCGCTTAATCAAACAGCCTGGCGTCTAGACGCGCTCCCCAAAAGCAAGACTCGCCTTCTGATTGCTCTTCCCCGCTTGGGACATTTGGCAATGAAAATCGGGCCTTTGAGCCTGTTACCCATGCACGTCTGTGTTAAACGTTTTCTGGTACCTGCCTTCATCTCTAAATTGCAAGAGGGCAAGGTTCTGTCTTGGGCAGGGGTGGGGAGCTGGGTAATATGTCAGAAACTCTAGGAATTTGATGAAGCCGAGGAAGGTCCGAGAAGAAGGCTCCACGCCGGCACGCGGGCTTCGGCGAGTCCCCACCCACGCCGCGCGGGCAGCCGCGCGTTAATCTCTGCACACGCCCCCCCCCCCAACACACATGCTTTGAGAGCCAGGGAGGCGGCTGCGGCTGCGGCTGCGGCGGGGGCGCCCTGCTAGGGGCGCGCACCGTCCGCGGAGGCCGGGCCCCGCTCCCCACGGTTGGCCGGCCCGGAGGCCGGGCGGCGGCAGGCGGGGGACTCGCGCGGCACCCGTGGGGCGGGGTGGGGGGGGAGGGGGCCGCGGCGGTCAGCGGCCGGAAGGCGACGGGCCGCGACGGTGGGGCGCAGGCGAGCCCGGGATCGCGTTCCGCGGGCGGGGCGGCGCGGGCGGCCCGGAGGGGCTTAGGCGGCTTGAAAGGGGCCCGAGCGCCGCCCCCCCACCGCGCGGCCCGGCCCCGCGCCCGCTGCGGCCGCCGCGCCATTCACACGCCCTCTGGCCATTCGGCGCGGCGCGGGGGCGGGGGGCGCCGCTTCAATGGGGATTTCGCGGGCCGGCGCCGGGGCCGGGGGCGCGGCCCGGCCGCGGGAGCCGCCCGTTGCTACGCGGTGGCGACCGGCCCGGCGGCCCGGGCCCGGCGGCCGCATTATGCGGGTAATGCGGTGTGACACCGCGCGAACAAAGGCGGATTGAGCGGCCCAGCGGGCCCCGCCGGACGGGGACCGGCACAGCGGGGCTGTCAGCGCCGCTCCCAGGCTAATCCCCGCCCCGCCCCCGCCGCCCCCGCCGCCCCCGCGTCCCCGGGGCTGGGAACCGAGCGCGGCCCGGGGCCCGGGCGCCGCCGCCGCCGCGAGAGGCCGCTGGCCCGGCCGGAAGCGAGGCGCTGGCCCTCGGCGCCACCGCCCCCGGGCGCCCAGGGGAGGGCGGGAGCCGGAACGCAGACGAGGAGAGGGGGCCGGGGGGGGCGGGGCCTTGGCCGCCCGCGGGCTCGGTGCGCCGGCGGCGCTGTCCGTGGAAGCGGGACGGGCAGCTCCTCCGCAGGCGGCCCACGAGGCTCTCAGGCTTCCCGCTTGGGTGCCGGGCTGCGATCTCTCTCAGTGCTCGGGATGGGAGCCCCGGCTTCTAGGCCGGCCTGCGTGGCCTTGGGCAGGTCACCTGCCGCTCTAGGTTCCTCGCCTGTCCCGGAGGGAGGTGGTTGGACTGCAGGTCTCCCAGGCCTTGGCCTTCTAATCCTCAGTGTCTGCATCTGTAAAATGGGCCTAAATTAAGACTTTCTGCCTCCTAGCTAAGAGGATTAAATGAGATCAAGAATAGGAAGGGCAGAATCTGGTGCATCCTGAGCGCTCAAACGTGGTTATCAGGATCATGAGGTTGGGGGACACCCCTGAGAAGTTCTCCTTTTCCTTCAGGGGATCCTGCCCTGTGTTCCGATCCTTCCCGTGGTGGCAGGGAGGGGGTTTGGGACTCGGGCCACTGCCCTCCTGGTCAGGAACTCTGGTGGCAGGGGGAAGTTATACCCGTTTTACAGAGGGTAACTGAGACTCAGAAAAGGAAGGGGTCTGCCCAAGTGCATCTAGTGCACTTAGGCAGTAGGTTCCCAGGCTTCCCTCCCTCAGGCCTCAGGCTCTCTCAGCGGTGGGAGGGCTCACGCCTGTGCTGCAGTATCTGGAGCTCGGGCAGATGGAGGGTAGGGGGCCCGGGGCCAGGACAGAGCAGGACGACCACATCTCTTCAGCAACCTGCCAGAGCTACAAGTTTCTGCCCCTGCTTCTAACAGCTCGGCTCTGTCCTGTACCAGGTGTTGAGGCCCTGGGTTAATCAGTTAGCTGCCCCGGGCCTCAGTTTGCTCATCTGTAAAGTGGGGATACCTCAGAGGCTGGGCCAAAGGGGGTCGGAAGGGCACCTTGGTTCCTCCCTCTTTCTCAGGGCTGGCGAGCCCTTCTTCCCGGCTGGGGAGGTCGAGGCAGGGCGGCTGCGCCCCAGGACCCGGCCTGAGCCATGCCCTCCCCGCAGCCACCCGCGAGTCGGCCTTCGTGCACGCCATCGCCTCTGCTGGCGTGGCCTTCGCCGTCACGCGCTCCTGTGCCGAGGGCACCTCCACCATCTGCGGCTGCGACTCGCACCACAAGGGGCCACCTGGCGAAGGCTGGAAGTGGGGCGGCTGCAGCGAGGACGCCGACTTCGGGGTGCTCGTGTCCCGGGAGTTCGCGGACGCGCGCGAGAACAGGCCGGACGCGCGCTCGGCCATGAACAAGCACAACAACGAGGCGGGCCGGACGGTGAGCTGCGGCCGCCCTCGCCCGACCCCGCCCGGTACCCCTTCGGGGACCGTCCATCCCGGCTGGCCTCGCCCCCGCCCCACCCTGCCCTTCTGGTGGCCCTTGTGCATCCCGGGCTCCCTGCTCTCCTCTTTCCCCTTGGCGGAGCTTGGCCCCCACCCACACCCCACAATCACCCCTTCTGTTCACCCATTCTCCTGGGGCTGTTCCCCATCTGCGCCCGCCTGGGGATGCGTCAGCTCGGGAGTGAGGGGCCCCATGGAGCAGGTACCCGCCAGCCCATCCAGTGCACTTGGGCTGCCCTGGACAGGGCCGCGAAGACTGGTGGGCCTGACTTTGAATTCAGCCTCCACGGCTTCCTCTGGTTGTTTGACCTACGGCGAGTCACTTAAGCTCCTGGTCTCAGCTTCCCCATCTGTTAAACGGGGATCACCCTCCCTATCTCCTACAGCTTTGAGAAATGGCTGATTTCTGCCAATGCTTGGGCTGTGAAGGGGAGGGAAACAATGGTCATCAGTCTTTAGGTCCACACCTCAGCCCCCAATCCCTTCTCTTCCTGACCCCCAGTAGGAGTAGAGGAAGGCTCCAGGGATGGGGCGGGCCGGGGGGGCAGAGCGGGAGGGCCTAGGTGGGTTCGTGCTGGGGGCCAGCTGCTTCTCCTCTTCCCCAGACCATCCTGGACCACATGCACCTCAAATGCAAGTGCCATGGGCTGTCGGGCAGCTGTGAGGTCAAGACCTGCTGGTGGGCCCAACCCGACTTCCGCGCTATCGGCGACTTTCTCAAGGATAAGTACGACAGCGCCTCGGAGATGGTGGTGGAGAAGCACCGCGAATCCCGCGGCTGGGTGGAGACCCTCCGCGCCAAGTATGCGCTGTTCAAGCCGCCCACCGAGAGGGACCTAGTCTACTACGAGAACTCCCCCAACTTCTGCGAGCCCAACCCCGAGACGGGCTCCTTTGGCACCAGGGACCGGACTTGCAATGTCACTTCCCACGGCATCGATGGCTGCGACCTGCTGTGCTGTGGCCGCGGCCACAACACGAGGACGGAGAAGCGGAAGGAGAAATGCCACTGCATCTTCCACTGGTGCTGCTACGTGAGCTGCCAGGAGTGCATCCGCATCTACGATGTGCACACCTGCAAGTAGGGAGCCAGGTAGGGTGGCGGGCCGGGGGCGGCTGCAGGGCCTTGGGACAGGGACCTGGCTTTGCCCGGCTCCTGTTCTTGACCAACCCACTTCTCTTTCTGAGCTGTCCAAGACACACGGCCCAAAATAGGAAGCCAGGATTTCCCCAGCTGCAGTGGGAATGGTCCCTGGGCAGCTTTGGGTGGACTACACAAAGCACAGATACCAGCCAAGTGTGTGCACGCAAGACTGCCAGCAACTGATTAATATTTGTATACAAGTTAGTAAATTATGAGCCAGGTCAGATGTTTGCATGGCCACTGGCTATCATTGCTGAGGATCTGGGGAGCCAGAGGAAGGATACTGTGGGGCTGGAAGCCAGGACACCTGACTTCTGGTCCCAACTTTGCCCTGTTCCGTGAAGTCCCCAATTTCCTGTTCTTTCACTTCCATGGGTCTCAGTTTTCTTACCATAAAACAAGGGGGGTAAAATAGTTGAAATAGTAGGCCAAAGATCCTCTTTTACCCCTGGGGCAGAGTCATTTTGCATCCACCTTGAACTTTGAGGGCAGGTTTTTGCACAAGCATAAATCCTACTGACCTTGAGGAGGTGGGTGGGGGAAGCGGTGTATAAGCCCATATCCTGACAGATCTGAAGCTTGGGTGGAGCGGGGCCACTCTCACCGCGTTTATGGAAGGGGATGGGGAGGAGGAGGGATTCAAGTTCAGAGTGATGGTGGTGAGTAATCAAGGGATCAAAGGCTGGTGGATTATGTTCCCAAGCTTCCCAGAGGTGGCCTGCGTGGGAGACACAGTGCCTGGCCCTTGGAGCCATCGGTCCCCAGCATAGGTCAGGACTGATGTAAGGTGGTCCTAGAGTCTTGGGGCTGGAAGGTCTGAGGCCACTATGCCCGCTCTCCCTTTTCTCTGCCCTGAGAAGGAGCCTAGTATATAGAGGCGCGAGCCCTGGTCCAGCTGCCATCACCTGCCAGCCGGGGGGCCCCAGACAAGAGAGTTTTTATAGATCTGCCTCCTTATCTATCATCCTCCCCAGAGGTGCTCTGGGGACAGTGCTTGGTTCATTGCGAAGAACTTACCTGCCTGAATCATCGCCCCGGGACAGTGCAGGGGAGAGCGCCCCACTGGGTGACGCAGCTCCACAGAGGGCACCTCCGAGCTGGTGGCACCCATCTACACTGTGTGGGCCTGGGGGAGGGGCCTGGGGCCTCTCTGAGGTGTGGAGGAACCCACATCATGGGGAGAGCTCTGCGTGAGTCCATCTGGGAGGCCCCTCGGTGTAGCCCAAGCTATGAGCTGCCAGGGACGGGGTCCGGAAAGGCAGCAGGCAGCACCGCTTTCTTGGTGTCTGAACGGGCGCAGTGTGGCCGGTGGAGAGAGGACGTAGGTGGCGCCGGGTCAGCCTGGAAGCCCCAGGTCCAGTTTCCTCATCCGTACGGTGATGGTGGGAGCCTAACAGGAGTTTTATGAGACCCCAGTGAGCTACCAGCGGCGAATGCTTGTCTGAATCTGATACTAATAGGGAGTGATAACTGCCATCAGAGAGCCGTGACATGAGGGTGTCATCCCGTAGTGAGATGGTGTCATCGCGTGGGCAAGTTTCGTTTCCTGCTTCTCACAGTGGTAGAAAAGTCCGTGAACACGAAAGAGCTCACAGGCTCATTATAGCATGCCCACTGTGGCCAAGGCAACATGGTGCCCCAAGCAGGACATAGCTCTGGCCATTCTGAGGGGGAGCTGAGGGGAAATCAGAACTTCAGAACACTAACAGCAGACCCATTGCTAGGGTAGGGAGGGACACTGAGCCCAGGACACTTTCTGCCTCCAGAAAGCTTCCAGACGGGTCCTGCAGAGGCTCCAACAACAGTGGCTCTGGGGGACTCTGGGGTGTCACCGAGTCGGACCCCAGCAGTGTTCCAGCACCTCCCCTCCCCAGGTGGGCCACCAAGATAAGCCATCAGCCAAGCAGGGAAGGAGGTGCTGGTTTGACCCTCAGTGTCCAGAAAAATCCCCTGCCTGCCACCCCTGTAATTGTACTGATCCTAAATACATCTTCAGTGCTCTTTTCTCCCATTTCTGAAGTAGAATGGTGTTTTCTCCAATCTTACAGAAGGTGCTACACAGGTATGGATTCAAAATGCCATGTCTAGGTAGACCAGTGCCCTCGAGACCCTCCCCTCTGGTCGCTCTGGAGCCCTTACTCTGGGACAAGTGTAGGACTCTCTCTCAATGTGGTACCCTTTGGACAAATTCTCAACTTGCTCAATTTGGGGCAAGCTGTGGAGCCTCTCTGTGCCCCGGTTCCCTCATTTGTGTATTGGGGGGGGGTTGCTGTGTGGACCAGAGGCTGTATACACCAAGAGCCCCAGTGCTGGGCCTGGCTCGTGGTCCACGGAAGTAGTAGAGATTCCCAGGCGGAGCAGAGCTGACCTACCAGAGGGACATTCCTCAGGCGTGCTGCGTGGTCTCGAGCCACAGGCCCAAGATTGGCTGAGACCTGACTGGTTAGCTCCCCCCCCCCACCTTTCATCGACACTGACACTGCAGGCAAGATAGGAACCTTCGAGACAGGATGGCAGGGACATATGCCCTCCACACACTGGGTGGGGAGCCCCAGTCTCAGTGGCTTTATGCCACAGGAAAACCAGAGATTCCTGGTCCTTCCCTGGTGGGGAAAACATCTTTTCCATTGCCTGTAGCTTCTGTCCCGTGTCTCAGGCTGACAACCAATTGCCTACCCTGCAAGTACCAGGTGCATTTCTTGTTACTCAGATGTTGCGAGCATAGTAAGCTGGAAAGGGCTCTCTCTGGACAAGAGTCGGGGGCCTGGCTGGCCGCAAGTGCTGGATCTGTCACTAACTTGCCACAAAACCTTGGACATGTCCCTTTAATCTTGCTGAGGCTCGGTTTCTGCCCCTGTAAAATAGTCTTCCACTGGCCCTGTCCGCCCCCTGGGGAATGGAAAGTTGATCGGGAATGCCCTTGAAAGCACTTTGGGCCTCAAATCCTCGGTGAGATGTCAATACACAAATGAGTAAGAGGCACATATTGGTTCTCCCCTGAGAAGGAATTATTCATGGTTCATTAAATAGCTGTGCTCCTGTATGGACAGCTCATTACCAAACCGCTGGTGCGACAGAAAAGCACAGTGCCCGCGTCTAGTCTCGTGGGGAACGGGACCCTGGACCGGAGGGTCCTTCAGTCTACTAGGGGGACTCCTGCCTGGGGGCAGCTGCCCACCACTGGCCTTCCTGCTGCCCAAGCTCCCAGCTAGAAGGTGGGGCAGGTAGGGTGTGGATCCCAGTGTGTGGTTGCTAAAGCCCTCCTGTTCCTGTTTAAATCACGCACCCTTCCTCAGCGGCAGACCCCAAAGCAGAGGAGGGGGGTACGGGAAAGCGACTTGGGTTCCCCATTGCCCCCAAGGACACGAGAAACGTCGAGCTCTCCCGTCCACAGCCTCTGATCCCAGCACCCCAACGGGCGATTCCTCTGAGAAGGGAATTACGTGTCCAATTCTTCCTCTTTGTTTTTCAAAGGGCACTGGGAACAGGTGAAGTGTGTGGCTGGGCAGATTCACCGAAGTCCCATGGGAAGCAGGACCTGGAGCCGGGCTCAGCGCTCAGCACCAGGCAGCAAGGAACCCGGACTGTTGCCAGACGCCCGTGCGGTAAATGACCTGGACCCGAGCCGCCCGCTGCCGGGGAGGCCTCCCTCGCCCTCTCTCTTAAGTTTCTCACCCTGCTCTGGATGGTGTGTGGTTTTTAAAGAAGGGGCTTTCTTTTTAGTTCTCTAGGGTCTGATAGGAACAGACCCCAGGCTTATCTTTGCACATGTTAAAGAAAATAAAAATGGAAAAAAAAAATTCTACTCCGACAGGACAGGCTGGGCTGCCGTGAGCTCTCTGCCTGGTGGTGAAGAACTCAGCATGGGCAGGACTGTTTCCAGACGCTTCTTCTGGTGACATGCCAAGATGCCTGTGAGGTGGGAGTTAGGAAGTAAGGCAGACCCCTGCAGTCTCTTTTTCTTGGTCTCCTCCTGCTCAAATCTGATAGACTTCCACGTTCGGACAAAAGCCATAGGTGTAGCTAGGATCCAGTGGGAGGGAGTGCCAAGGCAATTGTGGGACTAAGATTGGGGGTTTTGAAGAACCAGGAGCGCCAGGCGGCCTGGGAAGCTGTTTGAAGAGCGGCTGTGTGTTCTTCTCAGCCCCGTTTCCTCCGTCAGCCTGTTCTGCGCCAGAGGCTCTTAGGAACTGCAGTCAGAGCTCCCAGTCTCTGTGGTCCTTCTGTGGTGTCTACCAGGAACGCAGTGCGGGGTGTTTGGGCTTGTTTTTGTTTTTGTTTTTTAAGAGGACGAAACGATGTAAATAGGTTATGTTTAGGGGTGGTGAGCCTTCTGCAGCTCCAGTGGTTTCCTAAAGAGAGAAGTGGTATCTTTAGAAGGGGCCCTTCAGTCCCTCCTGGCCCTGCTCACCTGCCGATTCCCCACGAAAACAACTTCAGGTAGAGCAGTTTGGAGTTCAGGTTACCTCAGTAGAAATCAGACAGAGGGTCAGAGAGAGAGCAGTGGTCGATTCCTGAAGTTCCAACTTGGTGACTTGTAGCTAGGGAGGATAAAAATGGTTCTTTCGTTTCCGCTCCGATAAAGACACACCTTCCAGCCTCCTTTCCCTGCTTTGGCCTGTTCGGGTGAAAGAGAAACGCAGCGTTCTTTAACACACACCTGCCGGCCTCACCTGTGCGCAGAGAGCTCACCAGTCCACGCAGTTCCCAAGGATCAGGAGGAGGTGTTCGAAGGGGGACAAGCAGCCTCACCCAGCTGAGCTCCCCTTGCTCCATGCGGGTCCTCTCGAGGGTCCTGAACGGAGGCCAGCGGATCGGACGGCACGAGCCAAGGCCACAGCTCTGTCCTAGGGAGAATCAGCAAGAAGTGAGGCGGCTGGGGTAGAGACGAGAACAAGGTTGTTTCTTCCTTTACTCCCTTCGCTCTTTGGTCTGCCTCACACTGACCTCAGCTACCGGGGCAAGGGATCTTCCTGCTTGCTCAGGCAGGCTTGCCAAGACCATCCAGAAGCCATGCCCGCACTCTTGATTCTGCTGGCAACGAGCCCGGCTAAAGATACACATCCCACCCCCCTCTCCAGAGAGTCCGAAATGCCCCTCCCCATCTCACCTTAGACTGAAAAGTTTCAATCATGTCAACCGGATAATGCTTGCTTTATGTGAGAATTATTTCAGCAGAATGGATACAAATTTTCAGAACAGTCTTTTCATATCTATGTATTCTATATTAAAAGTGATAAAGTCATGTTTCTGGGGCGTATTCAAGTAGCCGACAAGTAATTATTTAATAATAGTACACTGAGCGCATTGTAATTATTCTCGCCGTAGTCAGGTAATAGTATCCAACAGAAATTTCCTACCGATCTGCTGTATCCAAAGTTTTGTAAAAAGTTGTAGAAGTTGTTGATCTTTTTGATTTTATATTCAAAAAGTCTCTTTTTATAAATATTATTTATTATACAATGTATATACCTTTGAGTTAACTAAGATTATATATTATATAAATATATATATATTTGGAGAAAATATATTTCATCATGCAGTTTTTTTCTGTTAAGTCATTAAAGAGAAGGTAAACAAACTTAAAATGGATACATTGTACCATGTGTGGAGTTTCCAGATTAATGCTCAGGAGGTCAAGAATATCCAATTTCTGAAGGTGGTGGCCTGAACTTGCACCCTTAATCGAGTGGCCCAAAGTAAAGCCATTCCCTCTGTTCTCTAAGCAGGATCATCTCAGACATCAGGGACATCGGGTCTCATCTACTGTAGGACTTTCTTACAGGCTTACCTTGTTCTAAGTCAACATCTGACCAATAATTCCTAGGTTTGGAAGTAAGCGGTTTGTGCTGTAATTCCTTTCATAGACTCTAGTACTTCACTGCACAAATGAGTATCACAGACACTCAAAAGATGTGGCTCAAGGCCAGCAGCCCACGGGGTTGGTTAATCCTTTCCTCACCCATGTTTGCAACTCCATTTATTGGGAAAATAGGATTTGCTCTATTGAAAATGAAACCTGACTGGAAATGGCTTCCCCTCCAGCTAGCGCAGCTATGGGGGGGGGTAGGTTGGTCGGGAAGAAGAAATGGTTTGGCCTGGCCTCTGGGTGGCCTGGAACAGGTATCATCTGAAGTTGGAGGCTGGGCAGAGAGGACCCAGCAGTGGGCACGCTCTGGGAAGGGCATTTTCTCCTTGGGCTGCTGCTTCAAAAGGACTCACCTGAAGCTCACAAGCAATGCTCTCGACGATGAGGGGCAATAATTCGGTTTTATGACAACAGACAATCCTTTGGTCTTCAGACATACCCATAAAACGTCACCTTCAGTTTGTGTAGCATAGCTAAAATGCTTTCCTTTTCTCTTTCTCCCGATTTACTTTTATTAGAAGCAAATCTTATTCATCTCCTTGCAGAGACGAAAACAACATAAAAATAAAGCAGTCTGCCTTGTGCACTGGCGATGGGCTGCCCTTGTGCTCCATTCAGACCTCTAACCTGAAATTAGGAATGGCCACTAGAAGTTCTTGAACTTTATTGTGCCCGTGATGTGTCGTTGCTTAGTCCCTGAAAAGCGTAAGCCACAAAAATGGTTGTGCTGGGCCACGCAAGGAACTGGACGTGGAGCGCAGACAGAAATCTCTCGTTTCTCACAGCCCTGCTCATCTTGTACTTCACTCTGACATAAAACTAATACTCATCTCCCCCAGCATCCTGGGTACCTTTTTTTTTTTTAAACCTATAAGATTGCCAAACATTTAAATGGTCCCTATTCATACTTACCAAGGCCATTTGTAATCCTGTCTATGATTCATCATATTCTATGATTAAAGAGAACACAGTTTATTGCAGTGCTTGAACATTCAATTTCTCCGTAAGTATAAATACTAATAAACATCTAAAAATAAGAGGAAGTTTAAAAAAAAAAGATCCAAAAGAAAGAAAAGAGACAATATAGTGGGAAGATCTCTTTCAAGGCGGTAATTTATGAAAAAAGCAGGGGAGAAAGGCTGGGGGCGGGGGGGCAAATAAAAGGCAAAGGAAAGGCAGAGAAAAGCAGGGGGAGGGATGATGGGGAGGTGATCCTAGGTGGATCCAGTGATGGGATCCAGTGATCCAGTGGTACATCCATGCCGGCCCTGGGTATATGGACGGACATGTAAGCTGTGGCTGATCGACACACACACAAGGGAAGTAAATGTGGCAAAATGATGGTGGTTATGCTGTCATTTTTCCTAGCTTGACAGGGAACTCTTGAGGAGGCAAAGAATTACCTTACCGATAATCTGATACTCCCAAGAGAGTGTGATGAAGTCAGTTGTGTGAAGAGACTGTATGCGGGGGAAAATTCAAACTCAAGTCCTCCTTGCAAATGCTGTGTCTACACGGCTTGAGATTCTTGCCCATCACAGATACTCGGTAGAGCATCGTCATGCCTGAATGTCCGCACAGCACACGCCCTCTGTGGGCTCTGCTCCAGGGCCCAGTCTCAGCACTACTTGCCAGCGGAGGAGAAACTTTAGATCATTTTGCAATAACTTCTGAAATTTACATGCTTTTTTGAACTTTCATCCACACCTTCCCTGGTGTCTTCTTTGAAGAGGCTTATGAATCAAGTGGCCAGGCAAGGAACAGGAAATCTTGCTTTGGCCTTCTGTGCTTGGGCTGGGTTGGTTGTTTATCGCTGACTCAGTGCTTCAACAAGTCTGTTTACCAGGATTTGATTATTACACACTCGAATCTACTCTACGACTTGCTGCTGAAACTTAAAGCAGAGGCAGTTCACTGTAAGTTTTAGGACATGAAAAGACAGCCTTAAAGCAAACCATGTTTCAGATTTTAGCCACCATTATAGTTTTTCTGTATACATATATATTTAAGGATTTTATTTGAGGGAGAGAGAGAGAGACTGAGCAGGGGGAGGGGCAGAGGGAGGGGGAGAAGCAGACTCCCCACTTGAGCAGGGAGCCCGATGCAGGGCTCAATCCCAGGACCCTGAGATCATGACCTGAGCTGAAGGCAGATGCTCAACTGACAGAGCCACCCAGGCGTCCCCTCTGTTATATAGTTTTGAAGGTATTTCAGTGAAGACGTACAAATACATGTAGGATGAGATAACCTTCTTTTCTGAGGTTTTAATTCTATCTGCTGACAAAAACTAGCCTGTTCACGGTGCATCCATTTATGAAGAAATCTAAAGCAGCAACTGGCTGGCTGGCCTCCTTTGCTTTGTCACTAGGCTTGTGATGTCGTCATATGCTCGCTCACTCTCTGCCCAGGGCAGCTTTGAAGAGCACTGGGATAGCTTCAAGACCCTACCTTCCCAAGGTTGTGCAGGGACCCAGGTGGCCTCAGGGTCCTCCTAGGTGTGGACAACTCCCAGGGAGCTGACCTCTTTGCACTGAGCCTTGCTGATTCTCTGAGCTGCCTTTCCTCCTAACCTCACCCCACTCTAAGCATCAGGCTTTTAGGCTAAGAGATCCAACAGCTCAGAAAAATGCAAAAAAGGATTCCAAAATGAAACATGTGAAGAAATCTCACTGAGAGTGTCTGAATCCCTTGGTTTGTACATTTCAAAGGAGTAATGCTAATTGAGAAACAATTTTCCTTTCTGGATTATTACTAACCCATTTATGGCTTTGGTCTGCTTCAGTTTTTTAATAAGGTGGAAATAAGTAAATAAGCATGAAGGTTCTTGTTGTGCATTAACTCTTGAAATTTCTCTTTTCAAGTGACTGTACTTCCTAAATAATGAAAACCAGAGACTTTTAAATAAAAATCCTCCATCGCCTTAGGCTAGTTATAACAA